CGTGATGCTGGCACATATCCGGGACGAAATATTCGAGATCGCGCTCGGACAGGGTTCCGTGACGCTGGTTGAGACGTTGTTGTGAGTGATGATTGTGGCAGTTGTCACTTACACCTATCTACGTGAAATACATGATTACGTTGCTAATACTCATCCTCCAGAGAAATCAAAGAAAGACAACTTCGGACTGTTGCTGGGTTCCCCGATATCATGACCCTGAGAGAAGAAGACGTTCAGAACAGGAAACTCGACATCTCGTTACTGTACACCCGACTCATCATGAAGCTGGAACACCTCCAAAACATGTTCTTCATCGAGCGGCTACTCGCGAAAAGAGGCCACGATGACGGCGCATTGCTGTCTGTCAGCTTTGAAATGGTTTCCAAGACCCTCATGTTCTGGACAAACATGGATCGTCTATCTTGCATGAACGGTGACTTTGAATGGCTCGTACGTGTCGAACCCCCCCCGGAACACCCTTCCTCTTCCAACACCTCTTGCACTTGGGAACAAACACGACGAACACTTACACATTCAACTAGGTAATGGCCTACGCGGCTCCAGGAGGTGGCATCCTATGCATGGAACTCCTTAAACCCACCCTCCAAGGCGGCCACCACCCGCAGAACCCCCAAGTCTCCCGCTCGAGCATTATCCAGAAGCTGAGCCTCCTCGTCGGCTTCCTCGACTGGGTCAGCCCCACGGCGCCCAACGGCGACCTCTGCGCCGACTGCAAGGTCATCATCCAGCGCGTCCTCGACCAGGCGCTCAACAGCCCCGCGGCGTCGGCCTCGTCCGCCGTCGACGGCGGGTTGCCCGCCGGGGTAATGCTGGATGTCCCCATGGACTGGGATTTCTCTACGCAGCTTGATTTCAACTTTGATTTGCTTGATACGTTTGATTGGTTGCGTCCTGAGGTGTCTTCGAGTCAACAGTCGTCGTAGTGGCTGCTTGGGGGTGGAAGTGTTCGTGTTAGCTGTTGGTTCTTGCATTCTGTTTTCCTCTTTCCACGTCTATACCCCGGGTTTTCACATTTTTGCTATTATTGCATCAACTACTAGATGGCGTCGGAATTTCTGTCTCCAGTCTTTCTCTAATTCTACCTTACTTGATGTCATTCATAGACAGATTCAAGGGAAATAGGGTTAGCTCAATGCTACACAACTCAGTGTTCTCCTTCAGGAAAGGACGTAAATATATATTGCCGCCGTCTCGAAGTTGAAGGGATAGAGTGCATAAAGTAAAATGACTGCCATAATCGGCCTTGGGATTTTCATATCTCCGTCAAACCTACTTCCTCGACAACTACGGTTCCACCTTCTCAATGCGCAACTGTTCAAACACCATACTGCTTCGAGATATGCTATGAGTTTGAAATGTCTCCCAATCAGCAGAGACATAGATCGTGGCCAAGCCAGGGGCTGCTGGTCAAGTCACCTTACGGTTGAGGCACCACTTCTTACGGGTCTATCAACTTTGCGTTGATAAAAGGATGAGCCATTGATGTAGTATGGCACAACGGCGAAGACCTTTGCCTGGAGCACCTGCATCTAGGGAAAGGTTTGATATGTTGAGCGATCATGCTACCACTCGAAAAGATAACGCTCTCATGTAGCACGAATGCCGTCGTCGGGTTAGAGCAATAACCCCCGTGGTCGCGGTCCAAGCAATCATGGACTAGATCCCCAACATACGCGAGGAATCGCGAATTAGCTTCCCGTCTACACTGACGGATTCTACGTGAGACCTGTAACAGCCACGACAGGCCGGTACCACAGGGCCATCACATCATATCTGGGAAATTCGCCAGGGTAGCCGCTGCTAAGCGATCCATCGGAACCCAGCCGATTCATATCCCACTCCTTCCGAACGAGATCTCTAAATGTTTAAGCTATCGAAAAAAGCACCGGGCCGGCCCTTGCTGCCGTTTCGTGGAGCGCAATGCCACGAGGACCTTCCCACCTTGATTGTAATGCGGTTCCCTTGCCCATGTCGTCACCAGGCACCTACCTAAGCCATGCATGCCATCAGAGTCCCGGGCTGGTCATCTCGGCTCCGGGGAGAGCCGCCACTGATCACCGGTGGAAAAAAAGGTTGGCCCAGAAGAAGTGGAGTTTTAGCGTCTTTTTTTTGGCAGCCGAGAAGCACACATACGCGAGAAATCGCCACTTCAACTAAGACGTCACTCGACTCGACTGCGCGGAGAATTCCTATGTTGCAGCGTGGCCCCCGACTGTAATCCATCGTGCCATCAGAGCTCTTCCATGGAATCGATGGGCGTTTTTCAGCATCGGCCTGGTACATACGCCCCGTGGCCTGGTCGAGCTGACACGGTGATATCAACAACTGCGCAAGGAAAAGATCGCAACTGCCTGCCAGTAGTCAGAAAAGACGTCTGGATGATGGCACACTCGCTCATCGAGATTGCCTAGACTTTTCAAACGTAGAGCAGCCACATGGCGATCCGGAAATAGCAGGCAAATGCTATGGGTATTCATGATATCGCACTTGATTGGCATCGGCTATAAACATGACGGATGCATTGCCTAGGCTCCAGAGACCTGGTTCGGAGGTAATTGAAACTGATGATGCCAGAGGACGGTTGGGCGATGATCGTCGGGGACGATCCTTCTCCTTATTTTCTTTCTTTTTCCGGACATGCACATCTGGGGCCCAGGCCCATCATCGAACTTTCAGTCGTATCAGGCTGGTTAATCAGATTACCTAGAATGAATGGGAGGCAGAAGGCAGAGAGCAATCTCTTAGAAAAACCGCGAATAGCGAATGCGCATGCATTTATCGATTCGAAGAGGTGGAGAGGGGTAGGTGAGGATTACCGCAATTCTAGCCGCCGCACCCCAGACATGTTAAACAATGTCTGAGCTTGAAATATGTTCATTAGCTTGGAAAATGTTCTATAGCTAATCTTACCAAGCTGGCGAGGCACCGTGAACGCATTCAATGTCGACAGAAAATTGAAGATTGAAGTCTACCAGACAATGTGTGGGTGAACGGAGGCTAGAATCTGAGCTAATGACGCGTAGGAGAGTCGGTCACGGTCGAGACTTCTTCTGCCAACCTGTTCGCATGCCAGGCACGGACGAGTCCTTGCAGCGGCGTTAAGTCTAAGACCTGCAGACAGGGATAGGTAAGTAAGCACGCGATAGGTGAAAACATTCAGGCTCTCGATAACGCTGTAGCGTGGCGAGCACGCAGTGACGTGCGTGGCATGGAAAACTTGGAGTCTGGAATGAAAGTCGTTGTCGTTGGGAAATGTGAGACAACGATATTTCCTAGGTCGGCTTCGCAACCCCGATCCGGATGTCGATGAAATGTGGGACGGGAAGTCCGAGTCCGGTACCTCGCCCGGGTGTCACCGGGGATAGGCGGGCCTAGAATTTCGGCGCGGGAATGAGACCTCGTTCGACAAGCTGCGGCCCGGCAGAGTACTATCGGTCGGAAGAATTCGATGGTTAAGACTGCCCTACGGCATCTGCATCGACGGCATGGCATAGGTGTCATATTCTGTGAGCAAGCAGCGAGATACGATGCACAGAGCCGATTCGAGATCGGCTTCCTTCGCAAAGGCAATTCCTTCCTCAGAGTCTAGGCCCCTCGTGTAGCATTTGGTGTTGAGTGTGGGTTTCCGATACCAGCCTTGCCGCTACTCATTTGCATCGCGAGGCATGCTGTAGCGCGCCCCTTGTCGCATTCAAAGTTCTGGAAGAAGAAACGACATCCACGTTGTCAAAAAGTGAAACCCGCGACTGCAGTGCAACAGCAGGTGTTTGCAGGTGACGGCGGGGCGCCGTTTGCTTAAGAGCCAAGCACTAAGCCAACGCACGTTTTGTGGTGGAGGAATCTCCGACACGATTGCCAGTTCAGGATCAAGGGCCTAGAATGGGAGCACAAATCGGTGCCTTCGGATAAGCCGTAACCAAGCAGAGCGTGGCATTTCTACCACAGGGCCACCAACGCAGATACCCGGTCCGATCCATCAGTATGGCTCTCTGAGCATCGAGCCCGCAGATCGAGGGTTGGCGCGGACGGCCGTCATTGGCTAAGTAATCTGGGGGGTTTCGGCGCAGCACTGACTGCCAGGCTGAGGAAGCGCGGTTGGCTTGTCACTGTCCATCACAATTACTCTCCGTTTGCCAGAACTTGAACAAACTTGCAACTTCCTGGAGCTGTGATGCCGGGCGGCCAAGCTCTGAACGCAGATCGAGTTAAAGGGAGTCGTTGCCCCGGCCAGGGGTTCAAGTTCCGGCACCTAGTTGTGTATCAGCCCCGGACCATTTCATTGGAAGTAATATGTGAACAAGGCAAGGCAAATTTAGCCTTTGGCGCACGCGGGAGCAGAGGCCGGTTACCGCCGCTTGAGAGCTATCGCGAAGTGCGGCTTTCTAGCAGATGAGTTTTGGAATCTTCCTCGGAAAATGGTTAACTTTCCTTTTCCTCTTATGACTCGACTTGACCACGGCCAGCGTTATGCAACCCGAATGGCGTATCTATACGCTCAATGATACAAGTAGCGGGTTGGGAACGATGTGCACCTTGACGAACAAGCGAAGAGTCTTGTCAGAACGCATGATACGCCAGCGAGTTTTAGCTCAGAAAATACTGGAGCTGGCACCCTGGTTCAGCTGGAGGTTGGTGTGATGTTGACGAATAACAGTCCATCTTCGAGGTCTTGAAGCTTGTCGAAACAGGGTGCCCAGCTGCATATTCATTCAGCTGAGCGACTCAAAGTAGGATTGAAAGTATCAACCAATAATCCGTCTCTTTTGATTTTGGCTCTCTGGAGGGAGGAAGGGAGGGGCGTAGGGTAGGAAAATACCAAAGCTTCCAAATAAGTTGTGCGCGAAATAAGTGCCGCGCAGACTGGAGTGTTGATACCGTGAGTTAAAGCGGAGACTGACTCGATAGCGTTCATGAAGGCGCTGAAGCTTGCGAAGAGTCGGGAGTCTGGAGCCTGGAGGCTCTGCTCTCGTACCGAGCTGTCATTCCCAATCCATCAATGGATCGGCCGAGTGGCTGTGGCGTGTAATGGGCGTGTGTCCGTCGTAGGGGCGGCGGCGGCGATGGCGGACAGCACCAAAGCCAAAGACAGAGCCTGGGAACAAAGCGGGAACGTTTAGTGGTGTCCGATGATTCATCATATTCCCAGGTGGAAGCCGCAATCCGCACCGAGCTCCAAGATCATTGCGACCTGCATTGACAGGCAGGGAGGTGGATTGCAGATGGGTTTGCGCTCTGCCCGCGATGCTCGGTTGCTATAGCTTGACACACGACGATGGCATCGATCGGGTGGTTCTTCTTTTTGCTGATGGAGTCCGATGGATCAGGGAACATCGTGGTTGGGAATCTGCGTCGGCGAACACAGCGAGATGGTCAAGGGTGTTGAATTTGGTAAGCTCTTTCGGCAGCCTTGACGGTGCATTCCCATGCAGTGCCATGCCAGGGGCGATGCAGCTGGGAGTTCTGGGACTCGGGAGTATTCGTATCCCATTGCTGTCCAAGGCAAAGCAGAATTCGATGAATCAGAGATGTGACAAAGGCGAGCAGCAGGAATATCCGTAGGAACGCGAGGTAAGCAAGTGAGGTGTGAGGTGTGAGGTGACTGGGAGTGCTGGGAGTGCTGGGCTTGTCGGTGGCCTGAGGGTTGTGTGGTCCCCTGGTAGGGCAGCATATACGTACCGACACAGTAAGGTACGTAGAGGTGATCTCCACTAAAACTAGTCCCATGGATCCGTCCGGGTGGACTCGATCTCTGGAACCCCGGACTTTATCTCTGCATCAGAAGTACCTCTCGATCTCGGTGCACTGCTATCCATCTTTCCCATGTCCTCACCATCGCCATGCAATCCTGCGACCCTTTCTCCTCGCTCCTTGCTATGTGCCGGCACCAGCGCATTCCCCGTGCCCCGTCTCAGCCTTTTCAACCATGGAAATTGCCTCCCATCCTTACGCAATATGTGTGAACTGTCAGATTCTAGGTATCTTATCACTTCTGTCTATGGTCGGGGAGTCGCGGAGTTGACCCCGGCAACCACCAAGGCCGTCCTCCTTGCCTCATTCAGAATCGGCCGACAGGCAAGAACACCCTTCCAGTTCGCAGACAAATGTACCAATTCCTGTCGAGGCTCTCCTGTCTCTTGGATATGCATGGCAAATCCAAATCTGGCGGCCACCCGAACAGACTGGGAAGGGGGGTGGCCGGGGGGGCCCAGACTCGGAGGGATCATGAAATTTCAGGGTCCAATGTGACTTAGTCTGTCTGCTTGCCAGTCGAGGAGGAGAACATTGTGAGGAGGCGTCATGACTACACTAAGCCATCGGCGGTTTGTCCGTGCAAACTGATTGGACCTTTTACCATTCTCTTTTTCCGACGACGTCCATTCCATCCATGTCTTCTTTACGTACCTGACTGCGTACAACCTGTCGTCCTTCAGTCTGTTCGATATTACTTCATCTATCTTGCTGGATCAAATCTCGGGATAACAGTAACTATCCTACGGTCAAGTCTATCATCAACTTTCTTCCTTCTAGCACGCGGTGCCTATCTCACTGCATAGTACTCCACCCCTTTAGCGAGCTTGCGTCGTGAACCTTCCGGGTTCAGCTCAGTTGGGACGGTGGCTCGACCCTGCATTGTGTCCCAGTGTTCATCAAGAACTGCGTAAACGACTCTCTGCAGTGCTCCGGCCAGCTTGAACACCCAAGTAAAACGCCCCGGGATTTTGTTGCTCAACTGGACAAAAAACTCTGCCCTTCTTACCCGAACCAGAGGCGGCTCCGTTCCTGTTCCTCCTTTGTTATTACAAAGAGACAGATCTTCCTTCCCCCTTCTCACTTTCTGGCCACTCCATACTCTTACTTTACTTTCCCATTTCACTCCCGATCGTCTAACCTAAAAGTCGATGCCGTAGCTCTCTTGCAGCCTCATCATCCGACCACCCTACCATCGCACGGCGGCAGCACCCCTGGACTAGCGGCTGCTGCGTCATTCTCTCTTCGGCCCCGACCTAACCTCATCTTCCCTTCCACTCCCAGGCCCCCCCCCCCCCTTCTCTCGAGAGACCCAGACCCCAAGGTTTCTCCTAGCTTGTTCCTTGCCCTAAGGGGAACCCTGTCTCCCGCTCCTCGCCTACCCTTCCCTTCCAGTCAACCTCCCCCTTCTACCTACTACCTCTTTGCAACTCGCCCGCAAATCATCTTTGCACTTTCTGTGGCGACTCCAAGACTAGTCTCTTTCCCAGATGGTCGGGAGCTAAAGCAGATCTAACGGCTTCTCTTACGCCATGACTTTGGTTCAGACTCCTAACAACGCAAACTTGTCTTAACCCACTCCCTCCCTCTCAAGGACTTTCATCTGAGGCACTGTCTCCTGATCTCTATCTTGCCAACGAACCTTGGTCTCAACACAAACGAACACTCCATCAAATTACAAAAACAAAACCAGTGTCTATCTGACACTGCGACGAAAGAACTCGACTTTCCTATCCCGGCTTTTACTAGAAAGCAATACCCGACGAGCATCTATCTACGATGGCGGCGTCCAATATCCTCATTTACCTGCTCCGGCACGATCTTCGCCTTGCGGATAATCCTATTCTTCACCATCTCGTAACCGCGTCTGACCACGGATTCACACATGTTCTCCCTGTCTACGTATTCCCAGCACACCAGATCGAGATTTCCGGCCTCTTACGCGAAGGAAGCAAGTCCCCTTACCCAGAAGCTCGCAGCGAGATTGGCAAGTTCTGGCGGTGCGGACCTCATCGAACAAAGTTCATTGCTCAGTCTGTTTGGAATGTCAAGGAATCTCTCGAAGGCGTAGGAAGTGGCCTGGCTTTACGCGCAGGCAGGTTCGGTGATGTCGTTGGCGACCTTCTTCAAGGGTTCGCAGACAAACGCCAAAAGGTTGGAGCGGTCTGGATGGTCGAGGAAGAAGCTATCGAAGAGAAGAAGGATGAGAAAGCAGTGGCCAAAGCCTGCGAGAAGCACGGTGTTGAATTCAAAACCTGGCTGGACGAGAAATACTTTATTGACGAGTAAGTGTATCCCGCTTGACAAGAAATTACGATCCTAACGATTCTCTCTCCAACAGCCGCGACCTCGGCTTCAAAACCCCCAGCGACCTCGCAGACGTTTTCACAGCCTTCAGAAAGACCCAAGAGCCGCTCCGCGAGAAACCGAGACCCACGCTGGCTCGCCCTGCAAAGGGTTCCCTTCCACCTTTCCCTGAGCACTCCGCTATCCCTCCCCAGCAAGCACCGTTCCAGATCCCATCCACCTACGATGCCTTGGAGTCTGGTCTTCTTACGCCCTTGAAGTGTCCCTTCGATCAAGAGCCAAAGTTTCCAGAGAAGGCGACTTCAGTTCATCCGTTCAGCGGTGGCGAGGATGTCGGAATTGAGCGTTTGGATCACCTTGTCAAGTCAGGCGCCATGTCTAGCTACAAGGACACTCGTAACGGCCTGCTCGGAGTCGACTTCAGCACCAAACTTTCAGCTTACCTATCATTGGGATGCTTGACGGGACGCCAGATCCATGAGGCTCTGGTCAAGTTTGAAGACGGACAGGATGTCAAGTTCAAAGACACGCCCGGTTACGGGAAGGGGGAAAATGACGGAACCAAGGCTGTGCGATTCGAACTTCTTTGGCGTGACTACATGCGTCTTTGCACGAAGAAGTTTAGAGGACAGCTTTTCCGCGTCACTGGCTTCAAGGCCGACAAGACACCTAAGTGGAAGTCTGCGGACCCTAAGCACGTGGTTTCGGACGACAACCTCGGTGCTTCGCCGGACGAGATCCAAAAGACCCTGAACAGGTTCCTTGAGGGAAACACCGGCATGGGGTTGATTGATGCTTCGCAACGCGAGCTGTACCACACTGGCTACACATCCAACAGAGCTCGTCAAAACGTGGCTTCCTTCTTAACCAAGCATCTCGGTATCGACTGGCGGTACGGAGCCGAATGGTACGAGTATCTTCTTGTCGACTACGACGTTAGCTCGAACTGGTCCAACTGGCAGTATGTTGCTGGCGTCGGCAATGACCCTCGTGGTGACAACAGGATCTTCAATCCTGTTAAGCAAGCTTTCGACTATGACAAAGACGGAGAGTACGTCAAGGCTTGGGTTGTTGAAACTCGAAAGGTTGGAAAGCTGGAGAATGTGTTCCAACTCTGGACTACACCGGCAGATGAGCTCGAACGTCTCTGTTTGAATAAGAATGTCATGGTCACAGACCCCATTAAGAAGATTGATTTCTCGGTGGAAGGGAAACCAAAGACTGGCAGGAGGCAGTATAACAATCGCCGAAGGGGTCGAGGCAATTCCCATCAGAGTAACGGGTCCAATGGTGGGCCATCACGAGGACCTCCACCAGGTTCAGGAAGCTCCAACGGAGGCTACGGTCACTCGAATGGTGCTTCAGACCAAGGTTCGACAGGCCACTCTTCATCTAGGTCGCCACCCAATGGCCCCCAGGGATACCGTACCAACAGAGGAAACGGCGGGTTCCGTGGCGATTCCCGCGGTGGCTATCGTGGCGGACGGGGTGGCCGAGGTGGGGGTGATGGCAGCAGCGGCGGAAGTGGAGGAGGCTACCGAGGGGGTCGTGGATCGTTTGGAGGTAGCAGGGGAGGAGGCTTCAACACCTACCACATTGCCAACATGTACCCCTTGGCAAACAATCAGCCGCGGCCACAGTGGACAACAGCGGCGTCTTTACAACAGTCGTAGGTCCTCTGTAGGTGCAGGAGGCGGGTTCGCGGCAGAGATGGGGAGCGGTATTGGCAACTTGACCCTCATCGCTGCCGATCGCTGCCCATCATTGCCCGTCGCCGCTCACCATTGCCTAGAAACCGACACTGACCTCATGTCCACCAACATACTAGTATCTCTGGCAGGTGTGTTACGGTCATGGAATATTAACTGATCACGTTGATACACGCCGGGTGTAGAGCACGAACGACGCAGAGATGGGTCATGCTTTGGTATAGCGCGGTGCGGGATGCAATACGTCTTGGTAGCGGTGTTTCCAGAGAACTTTATGGTATTATTCTATGACGGATGAGACCAGAGTGTTGTAGTAGAGTGTGAAGCAACTTGATTGCGCAGTGGAAAGCCTTACCAACACTCGCAATGGCGGACCTTTACAGGTAGTGTATATTACGCACGCACGAATCGTGCATAGCGCTTCCTTACTTATGTATAAACTAGTATGTTAAACCACTACGTTCCAGTGCAATCTCGCGGGTTGTGTTCATCACCTAATTAACAAACGCACTACGTGCACCTACTACTTATAAGGTGATCAAGGCTTGTTGGATTTTAAGATTCATA